GAGTGTTGATAGATAATCAATTACATAATTGATTGTTACCATGTTAGCACTACAAGGCCCAACCAAGATAAAGCCTCTCTCTGCTGGGAGGTGCACACACGTAGTGAGAAAGATCAGGGGTGCCCAGCCTGGGTGCTGCCCACCAACAGAGATCAGAGCTCTGCCCTACCCCACCCACATGGTTATAAATACCGCTGCCATCACAGGCAGGGGAAGACATTAAGCCTCTCATCCTGAAGGCAGGACAGCTAGTGAGGCACTCAGACCCACGCCCTGACCTGCATCCAGTGCCTGACCTGCCACTGGCTCCTTGGACCGGTTTGAGACCTAGTACGGCACTGCACAGTATGCACTGCTAGGTATCCCATTTTAGAGCACTTGTTTTTAATCTAAGATCTCACTCCCTTTCCCGTTTTCTTCTTAGATGTCCAACCCTAATAGGGAGTGTAACCGTTGCTCTGTAGGTATCAAGCCCATGTTAACCTTAGACATCAAATAGGCTGGTAAGCACCTGACTTCTGGTCGGGTGGGTGCTCCTTTTTGGGGACATGAGGTGTCTTGTCCTGAGGCCCTGGGGTTTCCCTCTGTTCTGCCTCCTCCAGAGGCCTGTCTGCAGGATGGGCCTTTGGCTGCTCCAGCCAGCAATCACCAGGCTCCTGCAATGACCCAGTGGGCTGCATCTTGTCTGAGGACACCTCCTCGATCTTCATACTCACTGTGACCTGGGAACAAGATACATGTTACCGGGTAGCCGGGAACTGGGAGAGAAAGGGTGAAAGGGAACATCCTGCAGACACACGGAGGTAGGGACGGCAGCTCTGCCAATCAGGGTGAAATACTGCTCTAATCTGAGGCTTCTCATACCCCACCTGCCCCGGCTGAACCCCCTCGGCCAGGGCCACAGCCTGGGCGCAGGTCTCCACGCCGCGCCCCCACTCCCAGCTCCGCGTCTCCCGGGGCAGGATGGCCAGGAACTGCTCCAGCACCACCAGCTCCAGCATCTGCTCCTTGCTGCGGCGCTGGGGCTCCAGCCGGCGCTGGGCCAGCTCCCAAGTCCCCTTTGCCTCCTGGTAACAGATGTCCTGGAAGCGCTGGCGCCAAATCTCTCAGGCGGGGAGGTCGTGCCCCAGTGCCGGCGGGGGGGTTGCCAAGTCCCGCTCTGCCTCAGACGGGGGCTGCTTCACCTCCCGGCCCTGCATCTCCTGGCCATCGACCGGCTCCTCCAGCACCTGCTGTCTGAGTGTGTGCGGTGCCCAGCACGTCGGGGAGGGGGACGCCCCATCGGTCCAGGCCTTGATGACACCAGGGACTTTGTCTACCCCCTCTGCTCATGCCTAGAGATCTCCTGGCTCCTGCTCCTCCAGCTTCACCTTAAACTGCACCAGGGCTGTGAAGGGAAGGTGCACGGCTGCCACGGGCTCCAGCTCAGTAGCCATTTTCTCCACCAGGAGATGTCTCACCCCAGCCTGGGACTTGTGGCAACTGCAGACACCATCCGGTCTCCGGGCCTGTCTGCGGGGAAGGAGCCGGGCACATCTCACCGCGCGGGGGGAGACCCAGGCCCTGCCCCTGCCCCGGCCCGATGCCCGGCCCCCGGCACCCACCCAGCGCAGCGCAGCGCAGCGACCCCTCCGGCCGCGCACAGCCCGGGGCAGGCGGCTGGCTGCACGCACG